GGGCCATCTCCATCCCCTATGGTGGTTGACGAGGGGGCCCGGAGCCCACATGCCACCCAACAGCCACTGTCGCTGTGAGTGGAGCCCACCGTGGCCCCCCAGGACCTCCGCTTGCAGGGAGCCGAGGGGAGGGAGAGCAGCCCGGGGGCACGGGCAGACCCACGGTGGCTCCAGCGGGGCAAGAGCAGCTTGTGCTGAGCTACCCGGCCGGTTTTGGCCAAGGAGGGATGCACGGAGAGCCCCGCCAGGCTTGGGGACACAGTTGTCAGCTGGTGTCAGAAGCGGTTTTCGGCAGGGTTTGTGGGCCAGGCAGTCTCGCCGGGTTGCCCAAAGAGGTGAGGCTGTGACAGAGGAACATGAGAGCGGGCGCGGATGGAGCCTCTCCTGTAGCCGTTCTCAGAGCTGAGCTGCAACCGGGATTGTCTGTGGGTTTGGGGTTGGCCCTGTCCCTCGCTGGGCGCCCACAGGGACGGGCTGATGCCGGGATGCCTGGGGGTGAGGTCGGCTCTGGGGGATGCACAGCGAGGAGATGGGGGAGGACAGCATCACCCGCCAGCCAGGCTGAAATGCGGGGATCACCTGCTTATTTTACCTGCAAAGGCTGAAATAATAGTGGCGACAGATGTTAACAAAGGGAAATTACGGCTGTTCTTCAGCTTGGTGGTGTGGCTGGAGGGTGAGGAGGCTCCGGTTAGCTCCAGGGGCAGCTGGGCTGCAACGCGGCCAGCTGAAGGGACGAGGGCAGCGCTGGGAGCGCAGTGGAGGGTTTGTCTCGGACCCGATGCTAACAGCAGCCTGCCCCGGTGCGTAGGGGCTGAGAGAGCAAACGAAGGGAAGGAAATCGCCTGCTTCCAGCTCCTGACCGATAACCTCCATCGATCAGTGTCTAATAGAAACACAATGGCTCTTTCCAACGGGAAATCGGCAGCTGCCTCCTCTTGCACCATGAGATGCGAGATACGGGCTGGCGTTTTTTTTCTCCTGTAATCGATGCTTTGTTTTGAGATGTTTGGCAATACCTCACGAGGAAGTTCCTCGTTGTAGAGCAGCCTAACGGGGTGCAGCAGCATTGGGGAGCGCGGTAGGGGCTCTGCATCGTGCCGTGGGAGGTGATGCAAAACAAGTGGCACCACCGTTAAGCAATTTCCCGTCAGCAGGGCCCGTCCACACCACCCGGCCGGCCACGTCTGAACAAAATGTCATGCTCTTGTCACGCTCGCTGTGGTGAAATGGGAGATTTGGCATCCTCAGTTGGCCCTGAGCGGGGCAGTGACACTCTGCTCTTGTCCCTCAGACGTTGGCAGGGTGATGCCAGCCTGATCCAGAGCCATGTCCAGATACCTGAAGCACTTCACAGTGGTGGGGGACGACCCCGTGCAGTGGAGCAACGACTATCAGAAGTGGGAGGAGGAGGAGGAAGCTGGGGAGAATGGGGAGAAGCAGCCGGATTCGGAGATCAAGCTGGAGCCCACCAGGAGCCGTGTCTCCTTCCAGGACATGATGAAAAAGCTCTTCAGTTCCCACAGGTTTCAGGTGAGAAAGAACAAAGCCAGGCTGAAGGGAAATGAGGGCGAGACTTGGCCAAGAGTGCCTGTGACGGCAAAACTGATGTGGGATGGAGCACGCAGTGGTGGGCTGGGAGCAGTGCTGAGCTTGTGAGCACTCGGCAGCTCCTGTGAGAGTGGCTGCTGCCTCTGAGCTGGGCTGTCCTCTCGGAAACGCACCGCTCCACAGTGGGCGCAGATGTTTCCTGAGCGGCGACAAGCCTCGGTGCACGCTCACCACGGCACGGGTGGAGGCACATGCTCTCCCCTGGCTTGAGCTCCCCAAGATTCTCCCACGCCAAGCAGTGGAGAAACAGCTGAGTTTGGTGGGGAGCGAAGCAGTTTCATATGGGTGAGACTCTGCAGGAATGACCCACCGACCAGGGGCTGAGGGAGTGGGAGTCCTGGGTGGGAGCCACAGAAAGCTCTGTGAAATGTAACCAGCCAAATCGGGGACGCAGCGTGTTGGGGCATGTTTAGCTGAAGGCTGTGTCAGCTCCTCTTGCCAATCCATCCATGCTGGGAAAGGCTTCACATTGGTTCTTTTCCTCTGACAGATCCTGGTTGTCTGCTTGGTCATCCTGGATGCCTTGCTGGTCCTCGGGGAATTGCTCATGGACTTGAAAATCATCCATCCGGACAAATATAATATAACCCCAAAGGTAAAATCATAGAATGGTTTAGGCTGGAAGGGACCTTGAAGAACATCTAGTTCCAACACCCTGCCCTGGGCAGGGACACCTCCCACCAGATCAGGTTGCTCCAAGCCCCATCCAGCCTGGCCTTGAACCTTTCCAAGGATGGGGCCTCTACAACTTCCCTGGGCAATTTGTTCCAGTGCCTCACCACCCTCAGAGTGAAATTTTTTTTCCTAATATCTATTCTAAATCTCCCTTCTTCCAGTTTGAAGCCATTACCCCTCATCCTATCACTACATGCCCTTGTAAGAAGTCCCTCTCCAGCTTTCTTGTAGGCCCCCTTCAGATACTGGAAGGCTGCTTATGGTCTCCCCAGAGCCTTCTCTTCTCCAGGCTGAACAACCTCAACTCTCAGCCTGCCAAGCCAAAAATGCAGGGAAATTACAATGTGAACCATGATTTCCCTCTCTGTGGTGGTTCAAAGCCCACTAGACAGGATGACTGGGCAGGCAGGACCTGGACCTTCAGCTTTGCCGAGCCAGCAGTCACAGGCACACAAAGGTCTTGCTGGGATTTGTGTGACAGCTCTGCAGTGTGTGGGGCCAACCTGGCTCGGCTCGTGTCGGTCCATGAAGCAGCTTTGTGTTTTCTTGGGCTGCAGCAGAGCCGAATCGGTCTCGCTACCCTTCTCCCGGTTGTCTTCACACCTCCTGGTCCGGCTTACACAAAGCCACTGGTTGCCACATGCTCGCTCTGGTTGTCCTTTACAGCAGAAGCAAAGTCCCCAGCTCTCTTCCTTGTAGAGTCAGATTAGATATGCCCTTGAGCGGTGGAGGTTTTCCAGCCTGCCCTGCTCACATGCACACAGGAGGGGTTCCTGGCCCTAAACTCGTGCTCTCTTTTCTCAGGTTTTCCACTACCTCTCCCTTTCCATTTTAACCATCTTCCTGGTTGAGGTAGGGTTTAAAGTCTTTGTCTACCGCCGGGAGTTCTTCCACCACAAGTTTGAAGTGCTGGACGGGATCGTCGTCATTGTGTCCTTCATCCTCGACGTTGTCCTCATCTTCCGGGAGCACGAATTTGAAGCTGTTGGGCTCCTGATACTCCTGCGGCTGTGGCGCGTGGCCAGGATTATCAACGGTAGGTGTGTGCGGCCGGTCGGGAGCTTTCCTTTGTGCATGGGTTGGATTCCCTGACCTTACCTGAATTATCTGGGGTCGCATCTTTGTTCCCTTCTCGAAGCCATCTGCGAGACCCCAGGGTCTTGCTCTCCCAGCAAACTTGGAGTTTTGCCTGTGCAGATTTCATTGCTGGAGTGTGGCCTCAATTAGGTTGTAATTTCTTTGGAGCAGCCACAATCTGCTGCTTGTGTTGGTGTGATGCCTCGGTGATGGGGACACGGCAGCCGGCCCAGGCTAGTGGAGATGCCCAGCTCTAGCATGGCAGCATCGGGCATGTTCCCCTAGAAACAACTTGTTCCTGCATTCTTCCCTCCTGGAGGGAGATGGCTTGCATCTTAAGTTTGCATCGTAGGATCCTTTTGGCAACAGTTTAACAGCGGAGCAGGGTAAAACCCTGCTCTTCTGAATCTACTTCTGTAGCAGAGTGGGGTTTACTGCTCTGATGTTCTGCCGTGACTCTGTCATCCCCTCCAGGGATGCTGCAGGGAATGTCCTGATCTCAACTCTGGATCTTTCTTGCTTGGATTCAAAGGGCTCACAGTAAAAAGAGAAATATATATATCCTCAAATCAAACTTTACCGACTGCTGTTTTAATTGTTGCAAATAGATGTAAATTCAGACACTTCTGAAACAACTGTAGCTGGAAACATTTTCTCCCTTCTCTGGGAAAGGATTTTGGGATTCAAAAAATGTGGCAATGGGATTATCCCGAATTATTGCGTGAAACCTCAGCCCAAGTGCTGTCCTGTGCCTACGAGTGCGCGTTTGGTGGGTGCCCTGTACTTGATGCAGCTGTAAGTCTTGTTAGTCAGAACAAAAGGAAAGAAAGGATGGCTGGGGCCGAGTCCGTCACCTGCAGCCCCCCGCTGCCATTTTGATGGGAAGAACGTGCCTGATGGGTGGCACTGGCCAGGAAAAGGGAATATGTGAACTAGCTTGTGGCTCTTTTTAGATCGGAGTGAAAGTCAGAGAGAAACCGGATTCATGTGCAGCTGCGTGAGCCACAGGAACCCTGGTGTCTCTTAACATGCTGTTTTACAGCAGAAAAACAAGTAAATCTCCTTATCCTTGGGTGCTCCTGGCTTTCCCCCTAAGCTTCTCACCGTGCCTGCCGGCTTGGAGCAACAGAGGGGACAAAGAAAATCTGCCCCAAGCTTCAGATGTTGTGTGTCTGAGCCCAGGCACGGTTCACTGCCTTCAGTCACTGTTGATTGATAAGGACCGGGTTACAGGCAGGTGGGGACTGTTTGATGTTATCAATGCAAATAAAGCAGCATGGTTGCTTTGTCTTCTGAGAAATGAACCCCCAAACCCCAAGCTTGCTGCCTGTAGCACTAAAACACAGGCACGCACCGGTGCCTGCCTTCGTGTGCATTGTTCTGTCAACAGCCGGAGGAGAGCTCTGTCGGGTAGGAAGAACGTGATGTTCTTCGTGCTCTTACCAAGCTATTTTTTTTTCTCCCCCCCTTGGAAAAGGGTGGGAAGAAAATGCCTTTGCTGTGGGGGCTGAGTTCACATGTAATAACCTAAGAATATTTCGGTAAAGAAGTGACACCTCCGCTGTAATGAGAAACTGTGCACTCTCACTGCAGCTGTGCAAGGTGAAGCGAAAACCTTAAGGACCTGATGATGTGCCATGTCCAGTTACACCTGGCAGGAGCGCTCGGCCCCCGGGCAGGGGACAAGAGCCTTGTGCCCCAGGCTGTGCTGCGCACTGCTGTTAGAGCAAGGCTCCCAACTACATGAAACCGGCTAAAATGCAGCCCCTCGTGACAACAAAGCTGCCAGTTACATTCCCCCCAGGCTCTGCCAAGGGAGCAAATTCAAATTCAGGATTTGAATGACAGTCTGACTGATTAATTCAGCTCAGAGGCCAGACTGCCTCTTCCCAGCAGAGTATCAGTATCTGAATCCCTGGGGTGGCTAATTTAAAACCCTCCTCATTAAGAAAAACACTTGGGAAGGGTGGTTTGAAGATGACAGAACCAGAGCTCGAGAGGAACACGTTTAACTCCTTGAATACAGACCCTCTGTACTGTTAACCTCCTGCTCGTGGCTGTTTTACATTGTAAAACGAACCCACTGTGAATTGTTTCACAGGAATAATTTTATCGGTAAAGACCCGCTCTGAACAACAAGTGTCCAAGCTAAAGCAAGCAAACCTGAAACTTGCAACAAAGGTTGAACAACTGGAAAACAGCTGCGCAGAGAAGGTAAGAAAACACTTTTAATTTAAACAAGGTTTACCCGCTGGCTGCTCCCCAGGACGAGCTGGCCTGGGATCCTTTTGCAAGGTTGCCACTGTCAGCTTGGTTTCCTCATCAGAAAGGTGTGGGGTAAGCTGGGCTGAGGAACCGCAGCCCTGCCTGTGCTTCTCTTGCTGCAAAGGAATGACGGCTACTTCTGTCCTACTTACTTTAGCCAGGTTGTCCTGTTCTACTGCAGCGAGATACCTTAAAATAGTTTCCCAGGTTCCCCCCGATTTTCCCACTGCTGAAATGCAAGAGCTGTATTAAGGATTTGACTTTTGTCTCCAACAGGAGCAAGAAATCGAGAGGCTTAACAAGATATTAAAACAGCACGGACTCCTCAGCGAGCAAAAATAGGAGGCCGGTCTTCTGAGGTGGAGAAGTCTGCCCCGGAGAACGCAGTGTCGATATCTACCGGTTCAACCTGAAAGGTTTTCCTGTCTCTTTGCTTTCTCTTGTATAGTGTTGTCTATAAACATTTTCTATTTGCCCACACTTTGATTAGATCTTGGGATCGCAAAAACAGTTTTGCTGGAAAATTAATCATGCGCACTCCCTGTAAACAGTGATTTCATAAGACCTTTCTTGTACAGTTGTACAGTCACAAGTGCAAAATAATTTAATAAAGACCCATCTTTACAAGCTGTACATCCACAAAAGTACCACTTATTTTAAATAATTGAATTTTTCTGTGGTAATGTTCTTTGTTTGCAACATCTTGTAGAAACTTGCAGTGCAGATGATAGGAATCCAAGCTGAAAAGGTCATTTCTTCTCTACAAGCTGACCATTCGTCATTAGTACATCTCTTCTTTGCCAACCATTCTTTTCATGTTGTTGGTAGTTTCCTCGTTTCTGTTGCTGCTTGTGCCACTTTGTTATTTATATAACGTTCATTTAAAAAATACCAACATAGCACTCCTTTAGTTGACAACCAAATCAGCACCAAAATAGAGGCAAACACGTGCCATCTTACGTCAAACAATGCCTGGTTCTCAACAGCAGATTTGAGTTCTGATACTGCATTCTCTCATCTCTTCTTCCATTTTAAGTGTTCTTTTGCTGCCTGCTGGGCTACAAAGTTCTTTCTGCTTCCACCGCTCATAAATCAACACGTCAAAAGAATTAGAATATGTAAGAACAGATGTAGGTGAGTGGACTGCTGGGAACAGTTAGACTCCAGAACAAGCTGGTCTTTGAACACAACGTGAACTTTTTCAGGTTCTAGAAGGTCCCTGTGGTGAGACTATTTTACAGTTGAAGAAGAAGATCCAATAAGTGGGAATTTTGAAAGGTGTTGATTGTACCAGGCGTCCCCAATTGATTTCAGCCAGAGTCAGCTGGAAGGGTCATTGAGCTTTTCTGAAAGCATCACTAAACTCTTTGGATTTTTAAAGAAAGGTAATTAATTATTGGTTTGGGGAAAAACAGCTAGAAATACATGGCTTATTCATCTATGAAAATAGATGAAGCAGAGGCCTTGTCTAATAGCACATGATTACTTTAATTAACAATTTAGCTCTGCTCTTCACAGAATAATGCAGCCTACTTTCTGGTGGAGCCGCACCGTGTCCCTGTGCTCTTCCCTTCCCCTCCTGCCCTGACACTGCTAGGCAGGCACCTCGGAGTAGCGCTACTTCAGAGCATCCGAGGTGCGGGAAGGCTGGTGGCTGTACGTGTGCTGACTGGCCAGCTGGAGCCACCATCAAGTTCATACTGCAATCTTTTTTCCTCTCGGCAGAGGTATAATGGGGAAATTTCTATTTAATATGCTTTTTTTTTCTGCCCTAAAGCTTCTGAGAACCCTCAAAAGGGCTCATCCTTTCTCTCTCAGCAAATTTTAACCCAGTGTGTCTACAATTTAGAAGAAACTGACAGCACATTACAGTGACTGTATAAACCTCGCTTCTTTAGGAAATGGACTAAAAATCAGAAAAAGCAGCAATATGGTTTGTTTGGGTTTTTTGATGCACGCTTACTAGACAAATGGAAAGAAAAAATCAAAGGGTAACTTGGCATCAATGGTGGGCCAGGCTTTATAGCCTGGCTCTGCAGGTGAAGAAATATCCGTGAAAACAACAGAACTTGTTATAGGAATAGTCCTGTCCTTTCCCGAGGGAAGCTGCAATAAAAATACAAATGGTCATTAGCTTCAGTCTTCTCTTTGTATGACTGCTTTGTTCGGACTGGGTTATATTTTCAGCTGTTATTTGTAAAAAGTTTTTTTTCGTATACAGTTCCATGTTTCTTTTCATGAACGATGTATAGATTTTTATGGAAGTGTGTTTTGGCAAGCAGCCCACAGTTGTGTTTGAGTTGGAACAGAAACTGTTGGTTGTAATACACTCTAATATGAAGTGCTACCTTTAGATAAAGAGATTAACTGGGTCATGGTACACAGCTGACACCTAAGCAAAACAAGCCATTCTTTTTATCTCAAATCCTGCAATTTAATTACATACCTGTTTCAACGTGGTGGTAGTGATCGTTGCTGTAACATTGACTATTCTGGCTTGTGGATTGACTAGGGATCCGTATTTAGTCCACTTCACTTCTATTTCAAGTGATACCGGTATTTGGCACGAGCTCTGAAAAGTGTTATAAATTCTCTCATTGTCTGACTTGTACAGAAGCAACCGCATTAATTATTCATCTTATTAAACTGGCAGAATGCCCACAGAAAGCTTGCTCCGGGAGGTTACCAAAGCAACTACGCCATGCCTGCACCCTGGACCGCTGCCTGTGCAGGCAGCACGGGTGTGTGCCACCTTGGCTTAGGGGTGTCCCTGCTGTTTCTCCATAGGAGACAAACCGACTCTGTACCTGCACTTCAGGCAGGACTGTTTTACCTGAGTAGGGCAGGACTTTGGCTCTTAGCGACAGTGCTGAGCTGGCTCTTTTTAGTAGGAGGACTTAATTCAGTAACACTGTTGGGCCAGTAGCAAATCCTTAACTCTGCCAGGGCAGAATTTTGAAGCCTACAATCTTAAATATCTGTAGATCTATCTTCTTGAACTGTCAAGTTTCTGGTTACAGAAATCGTTCACTGTTTAGTTGCACAAGCATGCAAGAAACCTATATACAAGCTGTCATTGAGGGGGTGCTGTCGTTCAGCACGTGCCGAGCAGCACTGCCTAGCACCGATAGCAGGGACTGCACTGCATCGGGAGGAGAAGGGCTACTGCAGAAGATGTTAAGAATAAATGTAGTGTTTGGGTCACTCAAGCATACTGTCTCTGTGCTTTAAAGGATTTTTGCTATCTTACTCTAACCTGGCATAAGAGCACCAAGGAGGAACACCGGTTCTGTTACTTCACTGTTTCAACCTTACCTCTTGTGCTTCATCCCATCTGAGGAGCAAGACTCTAAACTGTGGCTAGAACTCATTTTGTTCCTAACACATTGTCCTGATCCATAACTGAGGTGCCTGATACCAGCTTGATTCAAAGTAAACCCTGTCTTCTACAGCAAGAGGGAAACTCCTCATTTGTGAATACCCCGGGAGGACTTTTCTCCAGTTTTTTTCTGCATTTTTTTCCCCGTAGGTCTGAGAAACCTAAACTGATGCTGCAGTACAGGTACAGATCTCGGGAGAGAGGACAGTAAGAGTGAAGGGGGGGTGGTGGTGGTATAACTTTTACCTGTTCTGAGGTGTGGAGGTGAGTTATCGGCACCCAGTCAAGCACATCCTGGGCTTGAGAATTTCCAAAGGAGGCCACGTATTCAGGAAAGCTTTGTCCCTTCAGTAAATCTAGGAGGGTCTGAGTCAAAGGCTGACATTTCATAGCTGCAGTAATTCTTCCAGAACAAAAAAGATGAGTTAAAGCAAAATCCATTGGTTTGGCACAGTAGTAATTTCTCCTTGCTCTCATGCACTGTTCAAGCCTTCTGGCTACAGTTGCTAATGTACACAATCTTTTCAAGAGAAAGACCATTGTTAATTAAATGACATTTTTTGTAATTAAATACTCCTACAGCAGTATAAATGTCCCATGACCTGAACAGATTCTAATGGAAAGGGTTGTCAGAAGGTTAAAAGCACTAAATCAAAAAAAAAAAAAAAAGAAATGTCCTCTTACCGTAACTTACAGCCTGATACCATGTTATAACCAAATAATATTGGGGTTCTGGCTCCCTGTGCTGCCAGACAGTCCTGGTTGGATGTACTTTGCAGAATGGTAAGTTGACCATATTTGTTAGTATTCTGAATGATGCCAGATGTAGCGCACAGTTAAGGCAAAATTCAATACTTGATCTATACCATGAAAAAAGAATCCTTAACCACATCCTTAAAATATATCTGAAAATGCTGTAATAGCTGAAGACTCCTCTTACACTGTGAAGAAGCACTAGAGTGTACAATGAAGGTCTAAATCTACCTCACTAAAAAGTCCCGGGAGATTGCAGTCAGGACTGAGTCATTCGCTACTTCTAAAACATAGCCAAAGAAGCACGCTTTTACTTTTGATAAAGAACAGATACGTTTTATAGATGTCCATGCTAGAAAGCATTTGTGAAGATGGACCGAAACAAATGCTGCAAGGAAAATTTCAACAGGGAAAGGATATCCTTGTGGCCGGAAGCCCGCTCTTAGAGGCAGTCCAACAACATAACCAGGATTACCACTGAGAGGAACTGGCTTTGTATTTACCTGCAATGCAAAGCTACAGTATTAGTTCTTATCCTGTACTGAAATGGCTGGAAAACACAGAAGTATTTCACTTATTTTAGGATTATTAACTGCCTTGAACAATGATAGCAGTAAGAGTGCTCTGTAAGATTATAACAGCTCTCTAACATTGGGGCAGGCTTTGCTTTCACTGGACATACAGAGTCACAAGATGACTCTTCTAAGTGAAAAACAGACTTTGGAGACTTTTATTGCCCAGTTCTGAAACGCTGCCTCATTTGCATATCCAGGGCAAGTTACATTTTACCTTGCTGCTAACAATTGTTCTGATTCAAGTTTAATAAGTTTTGTAATTAAGTGTCTTTCAACAAGTCATCCATAACATCTCTAGCAGTTACCTGAGTAAAGCTGATTTCAAAGCTCTGCTGTATTGAAAGTGCTTCTTTGTTAATTGCCCCCAAGACAAAAGAAGCAGCTGCTTCTATTATTTCTCCTGCGTCTGTGTAAGTAATGTGATAACTCACCTGAAAATTAAACATTTTAGATATTAATTAGAACAAATACAGAAGAGTATGAAACTAGAAAAAAGGAATTTAAAACTATGTAAGTATTGTTTTCTTCCTTGCTTAAGGAACACTCAACTACGTGGTAGAGATATACTATATCCTCTAGAGGCTGGAGCCTCTTCAAAACTGACTTCTTGATAAAACTCTTCTAAGTGTAAACTTTATGTTCACCTACTTAAGATTAAAAGATGAGATGATGTGCACTGTGTATTCCCCTGTCTCGGCCACCACTGTGCCTGAAGTCATCTCCCAAGCATAACGTAGATTCTAAACTCGTGTTATTGTCTGTTACATCATATACACACACAGTAATACTAAAAAAGGAT